GAAATCAGTTTGGCATGATGGCTTGAACCATATTATGGAGGGCCACCAAGAATACTTCAGAATAAGGTGAACAGATCAGGAGGTAAAGATGAAATATCAGGACCTTTTAGGAAGGAAATCATCCAAAGCAAAGATGTGCTGGAAGAGGGTCCCTCTGCCAGTAGAGAGCAGCATGGATTGCAGAGGGAACAAAAGCAAAACAAGGCTGTCATAGGAGCCTATGTCAATAGTCAAGCTGAGGGGTAGGGAGGTCAGATGTGGATGACAGAGACGTTGCTAAGAGATCTACAGGACTTGGGAACTGAGGACTCATCCAGGGACAGAGAAAGGAGTCAACCAAGAGTCCAAGACTTTCAGCCTATAGCAGCTGTAAGGATGGAGGAAGTGACAGAAATCAAGAGTCAAAAGTAGCTATTGGCCCTGCCAGGGGAGCTCAGTTGGTTAGAGTGTCATCCGGATGAAAGGTTGTGGGTTCAACCAATGAATGAATAAAATAAGTGTAACAACAAGAGATCTCTCTCTCTCTTTCTCTCTCTCTCCCCTTCCTTCCTCTCTCCCTAAAATCAATCAAATTAAAAAAAAGAAAGAAAGAACAAGAAGTGGTTATGGCTAAAGTATAGGAATGGGATGGAACATGCTGAGCTGGATTTGAGCTACCACGGTATATATATTTTTTAAATATATTTTATTGATTTTTTACAGAGAGGAAGGGAGAGAGATAGATAGTCAGAAACATCGATCAGCTGCCTCCTGCACGTCCCCCACTGGGGATGTGCCCGCAACCCAGGTACATGCCCCTGACCGGAATCGAACCCGGGACCCTTCGGTCCGCAGGCCGACGCTCTATCCACTGAGCCAAACCAGTTTCGGCTACCACGGTATATTGATTTTGAATTGGCAGGGGTGCAGCAGGCGGAGATACCTAGCCAGGCAATTGGAAAACCGACATGGTACATGGAGGAGAGGGCAAGGATCCAAATAAGAAGGGATAGCGATCTGAATGGGATTTTGAAGATGGGAGAGGTGTCTGGAAGGAGGCAGGAACTTGGGTGTAGGCTGGTGCAGGGACGGGAGAAAAAGTGTCACAACCAAGAGGCTGCCTGCCATCTGCCTCAGCTCAAGTATGGAGTGGAGTCGGAATAGGGCTGAGCAAAGCTTGGGACTGAGAAGAGTCCAAAAAAGACAACTGGGAAGTAACTGGTGACAGTCTAACTTTTCTGTAGGAAGTCAGGGCCGCTGTCAGAGTGAGGAGTGAATCCTGAAGGCGAGGGGGCGGTGCAGCGAAGAGAAGGTAGGACGGCTGGAGGCGAGGAGATTGGAGGAACGTCGGTTGCCAGTGTCTGAGGACCTACAGGCTACATGTCCCCCAGTGTCTAGATTTCTGCTTTTCACATCACGAAATGAGGTGCCCCACGAAGAGGATTACTATCCCAGTGGGTGATAAGGTGGCTGCTTCCAGGTAAGCCAGTAGTTCTCAACCTTCCTAATGCCCGGACCCTTTAAATACAGTTCCTCATGTTGTGACCCAACCATAAAATTATTTTTGTTGCTACTTCATAACTGTAATTTAAAAAAAAATTTTTTTTAAATATATATTTTATTGATATAAAAATGCGAGGCAAGGCAAAGGGAAGAAGAGAGACTGCCAATCAGCGATACACTGGGTTATACTGGACGTTGGGTGCTCATGCCTCTCCGTGAAATGAGGGCGGCAGCCTGCCTAGCATATGTTGCAACAGCGGCCCAGTCTGCACCCATGGCGCTCTGCTAGTGATCTCATCTGCCACGCTGGGCAAGGGAGCCAGGTCAGTAACAGCTTGGAAAGCAACCAAATTTGAGCCCCTGAGGATGGGGGGGTGTTGGCTCTACCTGGAGATGACGCTCGGCCTGAGTTATGGATACATTTCTTTATCTCTAACAAGCAATGAACAGATTGGTGCTGGGGCACTGAGCTGCTTATGGGCTTTCTGCCAAAGGAGAACAACCCAGATCTTCACCACGGAAGGTTAAGACGGTCCTTTCGGGGAGTAGCAGGAGAAGCAATCAGCTTCACACACCGAGGGCCCCTTTACAGAATGAAAAACATCTTCGAGGGCTACAGCTCGGGAATCCCGCGGAAGTATTCCAAAGCCGTGTGAGCGCATCCTGCCTCTGCAGCTTACGGGCAGTGTGAGCCAAGGCAAGTCGCTTCTCCTCGGTTTCTCATCTATAAGGAGGAAATATAATAAATATATCGTAAGTATGTTGTAAGGGTCGTGTCACTTAATGTGAGCTGACCAGCTAGAAGACTAACATGCCATAAACAGAAATAAGGGGATATTTAGCAGGGTTTTTTTTGAGCACCTGTTAGGTGCTTGCTCTGGGCTACAGAGACCAGTCATAAGATTTTTGCCTTTTACAGGTTTACAGTATATAGGGGAAATAATACACTTACCTTGCAGGATATATATCTGGGAAATAAGCATG